GGTGTTTTGCAGCGAAGTTTTCAGGCTTTTCATTATGTCATGCAGAGCCGATGAAAATCATCATCCTCATAAAACAGCCCATGATCTCTTCTGCTTCACTTCCAAAACACGTGTGCCGATTTGTTGAGCATGGAATGCAGTAACTCACATGGTCGAAAGAATAAGTACAGAGAGAGAGAAATAAAGAAAAAGAAGGAAGAAACAGACAAGGAAATACACAGAAGAAATAGGCAGAAAAAAAGAGAAGACAGAAAGATTGATCCAAATAACGAGCCACCCAGTTCCATGCTTGCTTCAGGCTAAGCTCTACCAGCGTGAAGCAGTCTCAATTTTTTTTAGGCAACACAGATATTCTACAGAATTTTTTTTTACAGTAAAGCTCCTGTTGTTTTTGCACACTACCTCTACACTGAGGGAGAAATACTTCACTACATCTGAAATGACACTGTTTTGATTAAGTAACAAAATCTTCTTAATTAACTTCTTAATTTTTTAATTGAGGACAGTTACTTGTACTAGAAATTTGCAGTGCATGACAATTTACGGAATACCCATTTTTCGCAAGTCACAAAAGTTATGCGTTAATCTGAGATATTCATCATTAAATTTTAAGACAATATAAACACTGATTCCACCCAGTGTGCACGAAACCTGACCACACTGTTACATTAGACCAGAACTGCCTGTGACAAACATCCAATCAGGAAAATAGGCAAGCATTACTAAGTACACAAGTACATAACTTATTTTTGGGGTGTGATGTGTAGTGCTTATGTGCATCTTATGTTACAAGCAGGCAAAAAAACTATATTGCTGTCTACAAAAAGAAGCACCACAGTGGTTGCTCGTGAGTTTCATGCATTAGAGAAAGAAAAGATTGATATTAGTTTTCTAGAGCACAGCTCAAAGGAAAGAGATAAATACCAAACAGCACACAGAAGGGTAAGCTGATTGTTGGTGCAAGTTAGACGACTGCTTTTCACAATAACGTACAGCCACAATGTGCCTTCATTCAAATTTCGTCACTTGTCACAGCTAGCTCCAGTCTAACCTAACAGAGTGGTCATATATTATGCACACTGACTGCAAACAGTTTCACTATCCCCCAACATTTGATGACAAATATTTCCAATTGTGGGCAACAAGAAAAAAATGGGTATAAATTGTCACGCACAAATTCCCAACATATACAACTGCCCTCAAGTCAATAATTAAAAGTTAACTGAGCTTTTGTTTATTAGTTGCAATAGTGTGTTTTCAGCTGTGGCAAAATATTTTTATATCGACGTAGAGATCGTGTGTGAAAATGGCAAGCTTTAGTGTCACAGATTTTTTGTAAAAAAATCTTTATTGTCTGAAAAAAAAAAAATTATGACTCCAACGTTACCATACTTCAGTGTCATCTGAATAGCCTAACATCCTCCAAACTTCAAAAGAATAAAATAGTTCACGTCAACTTTATAAACCATTTAGGGAGAGGAAGGTTCAAGCACGCTTATAAACAAGCTAAGAAAAGTACTCATCCAGCAGCTAAATCATCATAATCAAATTAGCACTCATTCATTCAATCACACACATACACACTAACATATCACTGAGACCCCCTCAAACACACACAGAACTTCCATGTGTCAGGGGATGATCTTGGGAGTTTACAAGTGGGTGTACATAAATGACAGAACGTCAATTTGTGTTTAACTCTTCAGGTGTGAATTATAATGAACTGTCTGTAAATGTCAAAAATTTATACAACATTCTAAGATGTTCAATATTACATTGCACAAAATAAAATTAAGAAATTGGGTATTTTGGCGAGCTTTGCTCATTATATATTTAAATATTTAATCATACTACAGTCAGTCATGTTCGATTTTTACACATAAAAATGGAAATCTTAGGCCCAAACTGCATACACAGTTTGTTTTTGGCCGAGTTCATTTCAAGCGAAGAAAAATGGTGCTTATAAAGTTGGTTATGAAACGCGGCATGTCGAGCAACCCATCGAACACCACAGTGATTTCACTAAAATAATCAGCTTCAGATTTACGCAGCACATTGGGGTTAAGTCAAGACACGTTGACTATGTAGAAGGTTCAATTGATCTTATAATCAATGTATCTTGCCCTTCCTTTCTCAATGGTCTGAAGAAAATGGCCAAAGCAAGTTGCATCCATATATGCGAATGCTGTGTCTGAAGGGATTAATTATTTCTCTATCCCGAGTTACCAAATAGCCAAACCACATTTCACCAGAAGATAAGTGACGGCAAGCACTTTCTTAAAAGGGTACTAACACCCTTTTGAGATTACAAGATTACTCTGCCATACAAATCCCCTGTATACAGAGACAGCTCTGAGCAAATATGAAGCTCATAAAATGCTGGTAAGATTTTTTTTTTTTCATCAATTTTACCATGGTACTGACGTTAACAATAACCTGAGGTCAAGCTTCAGTACTAATCCTGGCGACTTTCACGCAGCAGTCTCATAATGACATCACGCACAGAAACTTCTAAAATAGCCGCATGTGCATCACCAACTGAGCCGCAGTGTGGAGCATGTCTTGCATGAGTATGCGACAAGAGGCTCATACCGTGTTGTGACATCAGGGTGCAATAGGAAGTGAAACTAGCTTTCAAACCCACAGTGCAGTTAATTTTCCAGGGTGCACTCATGCTTAGCAATGCATTTTCTAGCCTTTTGAGGGCTTGGCCTTTCATTTGACACAAAAAAACTGAAAATTTTCGTGTCAGTACCCTTCCTTTCATGCCTTATGAAACAGTTTTTGACAAGTTCTAGCACTGAAAATGTATATGCATCTAAACGTTCGTGACCATGCAGCGGTGGGCAAGTTACATTTAGCACATTCGCACTATAGCAACAACAGTGCTGAATGAACCAAAAGTAGCGGCACAGGGGATTCGGTTTTGTTGGACACAGCTATATACAAATAATGAAGTCGAGAAAACCATGGGGGGCAATAACTGGCACTCGTTTGAGTGTACCAATTACGAGATAAGACGAGAAAATGGAAAAAGAGCAACTTGCTGGCAGTATGGGCTCAACCCCCCTGAATTATGCGTGAAGCACACATACTGTGCAGCGTGATCATGCAAGAAAAATGGTCAACATTTGCCATCACATCTAAGTAGCACTGGCTCATACCTCCCGAGCGCAACAACGCATGAAAGAGGGCGACCGAATGGCCACCACCACAGGACAACTGGTAGTGTACCCACGTGCAAAACATTGAGGTTTTTGGTTTGTAGCCTAGCACAGTGACATGCTTTTTCATTCACTGAGTATTTTTTTTTTTTCATTAACGGTAGTGTAAAGATTATGCACAAACTTGTAACTTGAGCATCAGCAGTTATACATGTATTTCCTCACACACTTTTGTTTTCCCTTATACCATAAATGCCCCATCTCAAGTAGATTTCATATACCCTCCTTGTTTCCTTGCTCGGTATAGTTCTAAAATCACTAAAGAAATATCAGATTGTTTCTTTACTGTCATACAATAATGCATCTAATTAAGCTGCTCCAATCCATGTCAGTGGGGAGGTGCACGTGTAGATGTACAGAGCAGCCAGGTGCTTAGATATGTTGAACCTTCTTTATTGCAAAATAACTAATAAATTTCAACACTCTTTCACCAAAGATAATTGAAATGGCACACCTCAATCAACGTCTCAATGAAATTCCTTCCCTTCCTTCACACGAGGCTACATCTATACACTTTGCTTCCAATGCTATAACAATATATACAATTTTATAAATTTAAATAGACTGCCTTCATATCGAATCCAATTTCACAACTCATATGGCAAGCTTTAAATGACAATAATAAAATGAATACCTTAATGAAACATGACGTACCTAAATGCAAAGCCGCTTCTAGCAGTGCATCGAGAAAAAAACAAAAAAAAAAAACTTTGACTCACTTGCAAGGCGATGCTATTTGTTATGTTTGTGTAGTGATATACAGTCTCACACATGGAATACTTGAGACCATAGGTCGGCGACCTCACTTGGATAGAGTCGCGAGTCTAAGCGAGTCCAGGTGAAAATTTTCTTGAGTGCGAGCGAGTCCGGCTAAGGAAAATTATGGTGAGTCGGTCCAAGTGAGTTCCACAAATTTCACCGACCTATGCTTGAGACCAATTAACATGATGACATTTAATCATTTATTTATGAAGGCACAAACTGGCTTAATGTACATCTTACATTTGTAGTATAAGATAAGCAGCCATTATCTCGTTTAGATAGCTGAGCAAATACTGCATGTATGAAAGAAGCTGGTTAGCCTGGCTGCTCGCTGACCAGGTAGCTAAGGAATAAACACACTGCCAACTACTACTGTTGACTGCCGCTAACTTTAGGAGAAAAGTTCAAGCCCGCGTGGCTATGTACCCGGGCTTTTTACCGAAAAGCTCTCAGGTCGGGCCAAAGCAAACAAACGAGTGGCGAGGCGATAAGCAAGGCCATTTACCTATGTAGAGGGGAAAAATAAAGGCCGAAAGATTACCTCGCTCTTACTACCCACGTGACTTCACGCCGAATACAAAACAAACGAAACGCCAACAGCATGGTCGGAGTACGGTTGTTAGCGCCCTATCTCCGCGTTCAAAACGACTGCCACAGTGGCCGTCGAAAACGCGGCGGCTTTAACCTAGCTCGACGGAAGACATCTGGATAAGATTTTTCTGTCATGCTCCACAGCTGATTAACTTTCGCTAGTCGTTGAGAGGGAGGTAGCAGCGACTTCACGAAAGATCGTGGTCAAATGAACGTCTAAAGTTTCAACTAAAAAAGCTCGGCATTCTCACTTAGGGAGAGCCGCAAATTACAGAACGGAGCACGTAAGCAGGCGCGAGATATGAGCTCCGGCAAGTGCTTCTTCAGCGCGAGCACGCGCAAGCTAAAGTAGCAGAATGTGCCCTTTGGTTTCTATCCTATTGCGATGAGAACTTAGGCCGAGCTGGGAATGAGCGTTCTTACCGTGCTGGGAAGACTGCGATTTCACGTTCGGTCAGCCGGCTGTTGCTGGCTAGAACACTGCAATGGTTTCAGCTGCCCGAAACTGGCCTGTAGTGCAGCGCTCAACCGGCATAGCAGTCCGCGGACACCGTGTGCGGGCTACGCGGGCAGCCAGAAGAGAGACTTGAGCCGCACTAGCAGGTGGAAGCGTTTCCCTTTCATCGCACGAGTAGCCCACACATCTTCGAGCCCCTTCCGCTGGAACCTGCAACTCCGATTGACGAAAATCCCGGCTGGCCCTCTTGTTTACGGCGCTAGCTCACCTCCAAACGGGCTGCGTTTGGGGGGCTGCTAGACCGCCGCCGCTGCCCGTCACGGCTGGTGGAAGGATCCCGGGCGCCTGGCGCGGGGTCCGCGAGGCAGAGTGCGAGGCTCGCGTGGAGCTCGAGCCCTGCGACGATTCGACGGCCACCAAAGCCAGCTCACAACGAAGAAGACGATGCGGACACGGATGCCCAAACAAGCGACAATCCAGATACGCAACCAACACAACCGCAACACAACTGGAATACCCGCAGGGTGTCACGACCCATAAAGTTAGTGCGTATGCCGCTTCAGAAAGTAAACGTCGCTCTTTGTAACTTAGTTCTCGCAGTACACGCAATTTCACGCAGCGCGGCACTCGCACAATCTATGAAACAGCCATTGAAGTAGTGAGCAATGGTTGCTACGGCAGCGCTTTTTTTGCTGCGGCTTATTTTGGAAGTACACATTTCAAGCAAGGTATCGTAGGGATGCATTGTGTTGAAGGGTCAAACCTCTAGCTGCCGCGCGGTGCAGAGTGGGAAGGCCTAGGCGCTAGGCGTAGGGCCATCGTTGTGCGTGGTACCTGTTCTGCGATTTCGAGCGACGGAGTTGAGCCGTGCGACAATGATTAAGCTTTTCTCCCTCAAGCAGCAGCAGAAAGATGGCGAGGCGACGGGCAATAAGCCGACGAGCCAGAAACGTGCCTCAGCGGCCCAGCTACGCATTACGAAGGACATCAACGAGTTGAACTTGCCCAAGACCTGTCAAATGGAGTTCCCAGATCCGGACGATCTGCTGAATTTCAAATTGGTCATTTGCCCCGACGAGGGCTTCTACCGAAACGGACGCTTCGTGTTCAGCTTTCGCGTAAGTCCAAACTACCCGCACGAACCGCCCAAGGTCAAGTGCGACACAATGGTCTATCACCCAAACATAGACCTGGATGGTAACGTCTGTCTCAACATTCTGCGCGAAGACTGGAAGCCTGTGCTCACGGTCAACTCTATTGTCTACGGCCTGCAGTACCTCTTCCTTGAGCCAAACCCCGAGGACCCGCTCAACAAGGACGCCGCGGAAGTTCTGCAGAGCAACCGGAGACTGTTTGAACAAAACGTCAAGAAGGCCATGCTTGGAGGCTACATCGGCGCGACGTACTTTGAACGGTGCCTGAAGTAGCCCACTATGCTGTCTTCTCGTATCTTTTTGGGGAATAAGGGTAAATGAAATAGTGTGTAATGATGCTGCCGCTGCTACTGGTGCTGACACCGCAATCATTCTGCTTGGTGCTTTTGCAATGCGGCGCTTGTGCCAGGCGGGAATGAAAGCACGCGTCACGGGATCGTTACAGTTCTCGTAGTGTGCTTATAATTGACTGTATTTGTTGCGCATATTAAGAAGGTTCCTCGAGGGACTCTTGTTTTATAAAATTTTGGGCTATACGGTCACTCGCAAGTATGTTTTCGAGTTAAGTCGATTTTCACGAATGTATTTACGATCAGCTCTACCTGTACTACTTTAGATTCTTTTTGATGACGGCATAAGACGGGTGCACGTTTCTGTGACGCCTTTATTGAAGCGGTTACTATTCTTTAGTTACTCGGCATGTTGTAGTCAGGGTCTGTCGTGCGTCGATGTGCACTTGCTTTCACCGGATCGGTGGACGTGTGTGTGTGTGTGTGTGCGTCTACAACATTGTTCCTCTGACTTTGTCTGGCTTTATAAAGCCAGGCTATGCTGACAGACAATGTGCGACTGCCGAGAAATTCATTGTACTGCACGTGTTGATTCCCTTTTGTTACGTAACTATGGTTGATTTGTTCGTTTTTAATTTGGCCTATCTAATTGCTCCATGATGACATTGACTTTGTTGCTCGCTACATAATGCAACCCTGCGACCTTGTACAATTTTGACTGATTTAGTACTCTAAACAATATGAATTTTTATGCTTCGTGAAATCTATGTGTAAAGAGTTACATTTTTCTCAGCAAGTTTGCCAGGAACTTCACAGCTACTCTTCACATGTCAGTTTTTTTTTTTTCAGTTGGCATGATGGAGAGCCACATTGAACCAGCCGTTTCATGCTGGCAAGAATGTATGTTTGGTTATTTCTGCTCTGGGTGCTCTGTTTAAGACTTGATGGTCACATTGCTACAACTGCTCTGCAGGCTTTCACTATTTTCGCCGTTAAATTGTGCTCTGTTCGTCGGTCCAAATGTCTCAGACTTATTGCCACCAGCACATACACTTCTTGTTTTGTTTTTGCTGCCATTTCCTGCACTTCATTCTGCTATTATTCCTTTTTCTTCACCATCTTGCACTGTGCTGTCCATGAGTGCTGTCATGCAGAAATGAAAACTAGTTGCAGGCACCACTTTACAGTCTTGTGGCCTAGTCACAAAAATTATTTGGGGAATTCTGCTGTCACATGATGAATAAGTAATAGCTTCTATAATTCCTCACTGTAATTGTACCATGATCAGTTTCTCAATACAATCGTGATGTATGGCCTATGAACTCTCAGTGGTGTTGTGTGTGCCTTTAAAGAAATCCCCAAGGCAATTTCCAGTCAATAAGGCTACTTTGCTTAGCTTAATGGGTAAAAAACAATGGGTTGCTAGCTGGCCAGTTGTCGCTGGTGAAGCGACACTCGCATGTAAATCCAGTAGCAGAATTTGCTAGGAGCCAAGGGACAAAATATAGCTTGATAGATTCGAAGCACTCGGCTCGATAGCGATGCCATTCAGCAGGCACTGCTAAAGATTACAATCAGCCAAACCATATTGTAACATAGACTGGCAACCTTGTGGGCTGATATATATCATTGAGCTTCTGTGTCCCACCCACAGGCAGTGCCAGATGCAGTTGGTGTGTATTGGCTGCTGGCAGGACATCATGCTCTTTCCTAAATTTCTTTTTCTTTCTCCGAAGAAATAACGTAAAGCTATTTTTTTACATTTTATAACAATTTCTTGGCATTTGATTTACACAACTGTCAAATTGGCCCGGAACACACGGTCTATCCTGAACGGTCCACTTCAATGGTCTTCTCAATTGTGGAAAGCATCACGTCTGCTCTGACAAGCTGTTCATGTCTTGCCGGCCGACAATAGCCAAGGGCAGAGAAGTGTTTGGGTTGAGCTATTGCAGAACAAACTGTGTGGCTAGTTGGCTATTTATATTCACTAAAAGAGTATAGCACAAACACCATCTTTTTGCTGCGTTTGTAGTTTTTGAACTATACTTTTGCTCTTCATGGGTTGGGCCAGCAGAATGAAAATGTATCACCTGGGACAGAAGATTGTGCCAATGTCTTCGAATGGACCTCGCCTTAAAGAGCTCAACTGTGCATTTATAGCAGATACTCTGCCAAGAATTGGCAGAGTGATGTCGTCTACTTGTTGAAAGTGCTCAACAGTATTGCACTGCAACAGTGTTGAGCACTTTCTGCCGGCTGCTTTTAACTGTAGACAAAAAGCCAGTAGTTTAGGGTCTTTGGTAAGCGAGATTTAGCAATTATCTTCTGTTCCATTTTGAATGTTGCTTTGCTCGCTTAAAATTATTTTTTTCACGTATACGTAGTATGTGCTGGTTTACTACATGCATGTCACTCGGACATGAATTGTAGCAGTTTAGTGATGTCACATGACTAGCAATGCTGGCGCCTGCCTAGATAAACTTTTGACCAGTTGCTTAGGGCAAATGGAAAAGAAAGGCATAGAACTAAAAATTGATTGTTTTCGTAGTTTAATCGTGCATGAGCAGTGGGTTGATGTCATTTTAAGAAGGATAACTTTCACACTTTCTTGTAACATGGCAGACAGACCTAAGCAGCCAGAGAAATTTCAACAAATCCAGGAGTGATAGTGGTGAAAATCTAAATACAAACAGATTGGTATAATTGCGACCCTGTTTCTCGAAATGGGGTTGGGGAAACTCTTCTAGTCTCTCATCTTTCCAATCAAGCGATAGAATGGTTCTCCCACCATCGCAGGTGCCAAAGCTACCAGGCTTTGCTCCGAGTGCAGCACCCGTAACAGCAGCAGTAGGCAGGGGCTTTTTTTTTTTCTTTTTCAGTACATGTATTGGTTGCCACTGGATCCAGTTACTCCTCCAAGATGTATGTGTGCGCACTGTCTCGAGCCTCTTGAAATGTGCGATGCCATGGATTACAAAGATGTGGAAGCAGCAGTGTTGCGATCAGTGTGTGTGCCACGGGGCCTATGAGGTTGCTTTTTCACTCGGGTCTTGCCTTAGTGACGAGCCATCATTTCATTGTCAAAGTCTCGCTTGGCAAGAGGACATCGTAAGCCATCCCGCGCGTTTATTACAGGGAGTTGTGCTCCCTGGTTGCAGCATATGTTACGGTGTATGTGTGCATGTATGCGTGCCTGACAAGCATTGTTTGGTTTGTATCTTGATTGATTGGCGACTCGGCATGCTGACGTAAGGAATGTAAAGACATTTCGTTTAGGTTGTTGTGTCCGAAGAAGCCCAATGTTTTTTCTTTTAATTCTGTTCCCAAATTTTTGTTTTTAACTCTGGGTTGAGTGAATAAATAAAAAAAAAATGCCAGTTGCGACTTCAGGTGTGCTATTGCGTTTTGTTATGGTGTGATATTACTGTTGGCTGAATGCTGTTCATGGCCACAACACAAAGTAATTTTTCGGTCTGTCAGCCTTGTGCAAGTTGCCTTCAAGAGTTCTACAGTGTGTACTCCAGACAGTTATGGGTTCCTGAGCAGCGAGTGAGCATATTATAACTAATACCAGTGAAGCTTTTTATTTCTGTTGATCGAAAGCTTTTTTTGTACCGCTGTTGCTTTTGAATCCCTCTGGCAGATGATTCTGGGTTGGGTTTCGATGCCTGGTAGAATTTCTTATGTCGTGACTAGACGTAAGCTATTCATGAGCAAAGAGTTTTTTGATTCATAAAAATAAATGGCCAAACTTTGTTTTCAAATGCTATCTGATGTTAAAGCTTTTTTTTATTTTGAAACTTTGCCACATTAAAGAAAGGTGATATTTCATTAAACCTACAATATTGCCGAGTGCCCCGGGCTTAAAAGTTTGACCTTGCAAGTAGCACGTTTAATATGTGAGTGTTACTTACAAGCAGCATACGTATATTACAGATTACATAGGTCTGCAACACACTGACACCACCTCAAAACAAATTGGCTTCAATCTAGGCAACACCCACATGTGTGCTTTGATTGCACAAGTTGATTAAAGCAGCAATTATTTCTATCGCATCCGCTCGCTCTATAGTACATTGATCGGGGAACTGACACTTGTTGACATGTCTTGCAGACAACAAAGGCGCATTTCAAGGCTGCACACTAAGTCGCATGCTTCATTTTTGACCATGATAGCAGTATTCTGATGGCAAGAAGCATAATATGGGCACACAAGAATCGCACTTGTAATGGTTATTAAACTGGGTTTCGTCAATGCAGCACCCCTGATGGTCCGCTATTAGCTCCAATATGCATGAGCAGTAATGACTAAAAGTGCCACAATGATGAGTGGACATGGACGCCTTGTTTCTTAATGGCCATCTTAAATTAGGTTGTAACCTTCAACAAAATGAACAAAATTAAAGTGGTTATGCATTATGTTGTGCATTTTACTTCTCAACATAATAGAACTATAAATGTCTGCTCGGTTGATTATAGCCACATATATTCAGTTGTGCGGGGCTCAAGGTGCATGTTCCGTTAACAAAAATGGTCAAATACAATCGCAGCAGAATTTTACTGCAGTGTGCAGAGCCACATGCAGCCTGTTGTGACATACCCATAACTGTAGTGCACGTGCTGTGGTCGTGGCCAAGCCCAGAGCTAGCACGCATTCGCCACGTCTGGGCAACTGATCACTTTCGCCCATCGTATTCGCACAGGTTGTTACAAGGACAATTTTACCCATCTTTATTAGACGTCACGCTCTAATTCAACTTGCTTCTTTTTATGTGATGCGTCTCTTGTGATGTCATGTAAATGTTTTATGTCTAAGGATGGTTTGCTGATTGAAAAAAGAAAGAAAAAAAAGCTGCCATTACTGAAATGATTTCAGCCTTCTCGTGGTGTGGCTCTTGAGTGTTGATATGATGCATTTAGACCATGCTGCGAAACAAAATTGACTTCGCATCAACTCTACACCAAACAAGATGAAACAACAACTGTCAGCAGCATCGGGTTAAACCAGCATATAAACAGTATGGCTATGACACACACAAAAAAAGACAGCATATCCACGGGGTGAATGAAGAGTGGGGAGAGCCGCACGCCGCTTCAGCCTCCCATTGTCGTACTGCAGGGTCCTCGCGGCGCTGCCGCACAGCTTCGTGGCACGCTTCTGCCTTGCCCGCCCATGTGTTGATGTCCCTTTTTTCAGCGCGAGCCACCGCCGCCCTGCGCGCACGCCACTCAGCCACCTTGTTCATTCTCTGTCGCCGAGCCTCTGAATGTTGGTTCGCGCCAAAGCGGCGCTTTTATTGTGCATTGAGTGCCCCCTAGCATACGTCGCGGCCGAAGAACATGCAATCGTATTTCTCTCCTTCCGTACGCGAGACGTCAATCCTTCTTTTCTACAAGTAATGCCCTCTAGTGTCGTACAATTTGCATTTTTCAGCGTATAGTACAAGTATTGCTCTCTATGGCGGGTTCAAGAATTAAAGAGGGCTGGTTACCCACAACAGAGATGCACAAGCCACGCCACACGAAAAGCCAGAGTCGTCACGAAATTGAACACGCATACTACTCGGACTGACAGTCAGAGTAGTATGTCCGAGTAGTGCATTTGCCACAGGGACTGACAGTTCGAGTAGTGCATTTGCCACAGGGAGCTTCGCCCCTAAAAAATCGGGAAAAGCCAGAGTTGTCATGAAATGGAACACACATACTACTCAGACTGACAGTCCAAGTAGTGCATTTGCTGTGCATGTGACCTCTTCAGTGTCCCCCCTAAAAATGATTTTGCAACAGCAACTGGTGCACAGAATTTGAAATCCACGAAAGAGAGAGTAATAATGTCAAAGTGATTCATTAAGCCCTGCAGCTTAATTGGCGATAGCGTGCATCTGTAATTTACTCCTCCTTTGCAACATAATGTGAAAAGCTATTAACGAATTACCAAAGCATAGAGGAGACTTTGCTTGCCCATCTGAAGCATCACACTGGCATTTTCTGGCGACATGATGGCAACATTTTTTTCCCATCTGCATGCTTACGACAGTATAAGACATGTCTTTGTATTCAGTGTGTCTTTCGCATACTGAGAATATATAATTAAATACACACAAGTAAAAACATTTTAGTAAGTAGATGTGGAGTGGTTTACAAATTTTTTTCCAAATGTGCTTTCAGCTAGCCATACCAATTATTGATAGCACACAGATATAGCAGAGGCCCTTGTTTATTATCATGCCTAGTAATGAATATGATGTAGTGATGTGAAACACCAGAATTTAAGCACAAGTTTTAAAACTGATTGCTTGCAAGATTCACAGTACCTTACTTAATAGAACTTGTGAAATTCTCAGCATATTTGCTAGAAAACTGGGAAGCACCAGTTTAGAGAGAAGAGAAGAAAACTTTATTTGCGCATAACGCGGAGCATTCCAAATGGTCGGGCCCCTATTCCAGGGCTCCGCTGGCCCTAGCCATCATCTCTACCCGTTGGACCAGCCAGCGCTCATCAACAATGGCCGAGCTGGACAGCAGCGCCTCCCATTGTTCCTCTGTGTTGTTCATGTTGTGGTGTTCTTCATTATGATGCGTACACTCCCACGTGATGTGAAACAGAGTTGGTGTGGCCCCACACCACGGACATATATCTTTGTATGCTGTGGGGTAGAATACATGCAGCCTGTGTAAGTTCGTGTATGTGTTTGTTTGGATTCTGTGTAATGCCACCGATTCCATTGCTGTGAGTTTCTTATGCGGTGCTGGATACACTTTTCTATTGTCCCTGTAATACTGAAGAATTGCACCAAAGTTAGGGTCTAGGGGCGTTGGATCCTCTATTGCAGTGTGCAAGGAAGCTCGGTAATCTGTGAAGCCTCGAGCCGCCTCATCCCCAAACTGGTTCCCGGTGACGCCCTCGTGCCCTGGCGCCCAGATAATGGTTTGGGTGTATTCAATTGGGAAGTCCTTGTGAGCTTTGGTTAGAATTTGGAAGGCCTTCATACATATTCTACCTTTTTCGTAATTTCTACATGCAGCCTTCGAGTCTGTGGTTATTGTCATTGGGGCTTTTCGCTCCCTGCCCTCCTTGATTGCCAGCGCGATCGCTATCTCCTCCGCTTCTATGATAGAGGCTTGGGCTATGGAGGCACAACTTGTGACGTTTCCTTTTCGGTCTGTGACCACGGCCACATTGTTCTTTGCATTTGCCTTATATGGTGCAGCGTCAGTAAATCTCGCCGTATTCAGATATTTTGTCTGTGTATCTATGTAAACGACTCTTGCTTTACGTCTTCCAGCATGTAAAACTGGGTCCATGTTCTTCAATAGGGGGCATATTTTGTACCAGGCTCTGACTGAGAATGACAATTCCTTGGCTCTTCCATGTGCCTGTACTTGTTCGCCGAGGCCGATCCTCTGAAGAAGTTTTCTGCCGGTTGTCGTCCGTAGCAGGCGGTTAATCTGGGTGGTTACTTGTGCCTCAGCCAACTCATCAAATGTATTGTGAAGTCCGAGCGCTAATAGCTTCGCAGTTGAAGTGCTTTGTGGTAGTCGCAGAGCCGCTTTATACGCCATCCTTATTATTTTGTCTGCTTTTTTTTTCTCCTCTCTATTCATGTTGTGGTAGGGTAGCGAGTATGTTAGTCTGCTGATGACTAAGCTCTTTACCAAACGAAGCACGTCTTGTTCTTTCAGTCCAGCACGATTGTTCGTTATTCGAACTATCATACGAACAATTTGTTGAGCTGTTCGTTTAAGCATATTCAGTGTGTGGAGACATCGCTGATTGGACTGTAACCACATCCCTAAAATCCGAACAGTTGTTTTCTCTGGTATAATATTGCCGTCTAGCTTGACCTCAAGGCGGAGGCTCGGGTCTGTCCTTTGTTTTTTACTCTTGGAGAACCGAATGAGTTCCGATTTGTCTGCTGAGCACTGAAGCCCCCTTTCTTTAGTGTAATCTTCTGTGGTTTTAGCTGCCAGTTGAAGCCGCTCTTCTTTTTCCGCCAAGTTACCCTTGGTTGTCCATACAGTGATGTCATCCGCATAGAAGGAGTGTCGGATGTCGGGAATACCTTCCAGTTTTTTGGCTAGACCAATCATGGCTATGTTGAAAAGCGTAGGCGAGATCACAGCGCCTTGTGCCTTTGCTCGGTGGGTGGAAGACATTGTATTCGTGTTCTCCTAATCTGATAACAGCGGTTCTTTTAGTAAGGAAGTTCTGTACATATTTGTACGTCCTTTGACCGCAGTTTGTCGCTGCTAGCCCATCTAATATGGCCTTATGGCTTACATTGTCAAAAGCGCCTTTTATGTCGATGGCCATGACAATGTTTTCTCCTGCTTTTGAACATTTGTTAGTACTTCCTCCTTTAAAAGCAGAAGGATGTCCTGTGTCGAAAGGTTCGAGCAGAAACCAAACATGGTGTTTGGCAACAAGTTATTTTGTTCAGGGTGCCGTTGAAGTCTGGCATTTATTAATCTCTCAAACACTTTGCCTAAGCACGAGGTAAGAGAGATTGGCCTGAGGTTTTCTATTGCCAATTTCTTTCCTGGTTTGGGTATCATAATTATTACAGCATGCTTCCATTGCTGTGGTATAGTGCCATTCACCCAGTGTTTGTTAATGAAGTTTAGAAGCACTGTTATGGCTTCGTCATTCATGTTGCGAATCATGGCATTGGTGATTTGGTCCACCCCAGGCGCTGTGTTGCGTTTCATGCTGACGATTGCCGCTCTGACCTCGGCATGCGTGAAAGGTGCATCCAGTTCTGAGTTT